AGGTGAAGTGTACTGCTTCGTAATACTTGAAAATAAAAGTATATGATATACCAAGTTTATTCTCTTATATGTGAGAAATCAATTTTGCTGAATTGATTTGAGTTTAGTTGCTTAAGCTATGGATCAAATATGTTTTGTTGAGAAGCTTGTGGTTTGTTGAAAATCTTGTGATTTGAGTAGTATCCACAGTGCTAGAGTTGTTGATAGCTTGATATGGCTTACACGTTGTTGATTTGGACACTGCGCAGTTGTCGTGAGACAGCTTGACATTGCTTAAATGTTGTAGACAGCTTGACATTGCTTAAATGTTGTTGATAGCCTGACACTGCTTAAATGTTGTTGTTGACTCATAGCACATATGAACTATTTATTATGTTGTTATATTGGTAGAGATTATGAGATTTTAAAGTGAGTTGAAAACACTTTGATTTTGACGTTTTGCTAAGATTGTGAACATATTTTGGTGAAATAATATTTGATCCATATTTTTTAATATTTTCATTTATTATGATGCGTAGTACACTCAAGAAAATATTTATTTTCAGGGAGCTGAAGTTTATAGTTGGGTCCACTACAACACTAGTAGAGTCAAGATGAGAGGTTAAGGAAACTGGTTGTGTACATATTGTACCAGAGTATTCGTTTCCTTGTTTATGTAACGGATGAATTCCCTAATTCTTTGTATTGTATTGAGTTACAGAGTTGTGTACTCTGTTATAGAGTTGTATGATTTATCTCTTTTATGAGATTAGTGGTTGGTATTATTGATTTTAAATGATTCATTGTAGTACAGGCGTATGTATTACCACGTGTCGAGTTATACTTCTATCATTGAAATACCAAATAAGTCTCTCGAGTTGGGGTGTGACATCCATACATTTGCTTACATATCCAACGCCAAATACTTATTTGCCACGAAACATACTAGTGGTTCCCAAGCACAAAAAGCAAGGAAAAACTTATATTAGTAGATGATAGTGGTTGCCTTGATGACTACCCTCCACTGTGTTGTACTTAAGGTCGGGTTCAAACTTAACCTCTCTCCATAAAAATGCTACACAATTCAAATAAAACTTAAAAATTATAATTCAAAGTCATATCATCCCTTTAGATGAGTGAGTTTCATAAAAAAAAATTGATGGACCCACCCGAAGATGATATGTATTTTGATGAGTCATAATTTTTTCATTTTTATTTAGGTCGTGTAAAAACAATGTCTAACCATTTAAGAAAAACAATCAAGTCAAGTTGGGTCGGGTGGTTTTACAATCTGGAATTTGAAAATCATGGGCGCACAACCCACCTAATACTCAAGTTGGGTTAAGTCCAGTCTTACAAATTGACCAGTTCAGGTCCATTTTATTGTCTTACTTTGTCGAAAGGTTACTCAAAAAATATGGTTGGAACCCTTGTACCTACGCCCATCAAAATTTGATATGACACGATTGATCGACACAAATTAAGCGAATTTGAATAGTAAACGGGTTAACCCGTTAAACACGTTTAATAAACAAGTCATGCTCGGGTGAAACTTGTCAACATGTTAATCACTCGTTTAAATAAAATTAATATAATAATAAATTAATAATTATTTTAAAAAATTAGTCAGAATTTTTTTTAATGACATCCACAAAAAATATATAAACCATCTAAAATTGTTAGATCGTTAGTTTTATAAAATTATATAGCATTTTTAAAAAAACAGATAAATGAGTCTAACAGGTAATTTACCATGTTAACTTGACCTACCCAACACGACTCGTTTAAAACTAAATGGGTTAACTGAGTCGTGTCATGTTACTCATTTATTGACCTGTTCGTGTTCATATTAAGGTTTTTCCTCTGTTTATTAAAAATTTAAACGTGTCATGTATGAATTTACATGTTTTTCACCTGTTACCCATTTAATTCGACACGTAACCGTTTAACCCGACATAATTGACACCCCTACTTGTGCCTAGGGATGTCAATCGTGTCTTGTTTGTGTGAAGACCCACGAAAAAAAAATTATTTACTGTATTCTGAGTATTAAATATTAGTTTAGATTGTTTATTATGGGTGTTCAATAATCATATCAATTTTATAATCGTTCGTGTCGGGTTCGCATCAATTGGTCAGTTGTACCAATGTATATGTAGATGTTTTGCTAAAATAATACCTATTTTCAATAAAATTTCCAAATTAACATTTTTCCAAAATTAATTTTCTTAATATTGATATCATGTCACATCCTCGGTGATATGAAATTATTTTGATACATTGATAAGTTTGAATCTAAGTCCATTCTAACCGATCAATTATCATGTATTGTGAGAAGTTCACTTTATAAATCGTGGGTCTCGCTTAAATTATAGTATGTGATTTATTGTCAAGAAAAAATAAATAAATTATAAGATATCTTACTTCCAAAATTTTGCAAGGGTAACTAGTGTAGAGATATAGAATGTTGTGATGCCTTTGATTTTATCCCTTTGCTCTCCTACCCATCATGGACCTGTTTTTCCCAATAAAATATAAAATTACAAGTAACTGATGCTGAGTTACGTACTAACTCTTTAGGAGTTTGCAAGAGAAAAACTATAGGGAAAGGGACGATGGATTTGCCCAATAGAGCACATATAAAATCGAAAAAATGGGCAAAGACTCCCACTTACGAGTTGTTGATAAAAGACCATTCGATATTTAAATTAATTATTATAAAAAATTACTTGTGATAATTTTTCAAAAGGTAGGGCTTGTTTGGTTTGCGTTTCAAAAAACAGTATCCAAAAATAATTTTTGAGAAGAGTTTTAAGAAAGTGGTTTTAATAATTTTTGAGATAAAAAACTTGTTTGGTTAGATAATTTCAAAAATAATTTTACAATACAAAAAATAGTAAAACCTGTTTGAACAGCCTAAATATATATTTAAACAGTAATTCAAACATTAATAAAAAAATATAAAAAATTTATTTTTATATTGACAATTTCATAATATATATATATATTTATTTATTTATACATACATATATATATATATATATATATATATACCAAAATTTTCAAAGAAAACTCTAAAAACAAGTTAAACTTGTTTTCTGTTTCTTTGACTCAAATCTCATTTTTTTTCAAAATTTAGAGAACAAAAATGTTAAATAAACAGGTTTTGGATGTTTTTAAAAATTTGAGACCAAAAAACTGTTTTGCAGACGCAAACCAAACACGACTGTAGTTTTTGTGTACCTCATTTATGGGTAGTTCATGTCTTTTGATGATGAACAAAATAGATTATACACAATCAAATCAGTCGAATATGTGATGCAATATAATTAATGAAATAATTAATAATATAGATAGGGATTGGATGGTTGAGCCGAGGTGACGTAACCACTAAAGGCGACGATGGTGGTCAGAGGACTTTATTAATGAGAGAATAAAATAGTAGGTAAGTGATAAAGATAGAAAGCAGGTTAAGGTGTGGTGTTTGAGATATTTGTGTAAGAGGGATGCCCCTCATTTGTTGAGGGCGTACAATTTATAAGCACATAATTTTAGTTGAGGCGGTGTCATGAAGGTTAGACTACTAATCTCTTGGGGAGGATAGTTACAATTAGAGATATGTACAACTAAGGATAGACGTGATCTTCGAGCAACGGTTATCCCGATAATTACTCCCTATATGTGTTGATCTTCATGGGTCTCTTAAACTTTGGGCTAAGTTGAGATCATTAGCTGAGGTTGATCTACCTTATAACTAATTTAGATTTACCTCACAAATTGGGCTCAGACCTAGCTGAATTTAGGCTCATCATCTTTAATGAAAAAACGCATTGCGACTAATAGTTAAGTCGTGACAAGAAAATGAGGAATTTCATTGTGAATTACACAGACAGAAGACAACTTATCATTAAAATAGAATAACTATCCTGATTGAAATACGTCTATATATTCCTAAAAATTAAAATATGTAATCATTAAGATGAATAGAGAGTAACCATTTAAACCACTCAAATTAGCATAAATATGTTTTTCCATAGCAACTCATATTGGCATTATGCATGCCAAAAGAGAGGTATATGTAGGTCAAAATTAATTTTGAATACAAGAGTGGAAAAAAAAAATATATTAGCTCACATTCCAATAAAAAAAATGGTTTTTGACATAGTACAATATAAAAAATAAAAGTTCTTTACTCGGCTCTAAAAAATAAAAAATATAACTTTTATTAAATTGGCCCGAGTTGTATATACATTTTATCTATGCCTTTTATCTCCCATACTATACTTCTTTTTGAATAATATCTACATGAAGAGAGGAAAAATGATGTTCGAATTTACGACCATTATGTTCAACGGTGGAACGATAACACCTATTAGATCAATAGCTAATTCCTCTTCCAGACTACTTGGAAGCCGGGAGAATCCAAGTGAACCAAAAGCGGCCTCCAAGCCTGTCAAATTTTCTATACCAACCCAACCCAACCCATTCCTTCACTTTTGCCATCGGCCCAACCCATCTCAAGACTTGGGCCTCAATCAATGCAATCAGCCCGCTTTCTCACTCCTCCCCTCAATCGCCTTCCTCCTCTCTCGTCCACTTCTATCTTCAACCTTTTGACGCTCCCAAACAACAACACACCCCCATCACATTATATATACAGTAAATGACTGACCACTGAAACCACTTCAGAAAAGAGCCCTAGCATTCGAACCAGAGCTTCATCCTCTACACCCTTCTCTCTTCGATCGGCTCTACCAGCTCAAGTTGCGTCCTTCGTAGTAGAAAATTTTTCTTTATTGAAATTTACATGTACTTTTGATGTTCTATATGTATAGCAGATCTAGGTTATGATTTCAGATTCGTCGAATGCTTTCACATGAAGTCCTCGATATGTTTTAGAAGTATGTTTTGTTTTTTCTAATTTTGAATTTTCGAGAAAACTGTGTAACCTAGATTGTATTAGGTTTAGGGTTTTTTAGATTCATTGGTATGTATTTTTAGTTATCTGTCTATTGTTGGTAATGGAAATGGAGAGTTCTCGAAGACCATTCGATAGATCTATTAGAGAATCGGGTGTAAGAAACCCAGATTAACAGAAGACCCCATCGTACCCGATCGCAACTCCACCGGCCGCCCTTTTGTTCAACGCCAACCCACGGCTTCTGGTTCGAATTCGAGATTGCGAGAGAAGGATTCGGAGAGTAGTGATTCAGTACGTGGACCTTTTCAACAGCAGCTGCAGCATCAAGAGCTTGTGAGTCAGTACAAGACTGCTCTGGCCGAGCTGACCTTTAATTCAAAACCGATTATTACTAACTTGACCATAATTGCTGGAGAGAATTCGCATGCTGCCAAGGCCATCGCTGCAACCATCTGCACCAATATTCTTGAGGTGAATTCAGCTCTACACTACCGTGTTTCAATACGTTCCCCTATCATTCCTTATTTGTAAAGCATATCAGAATATAAAAAGAAAAAAAGTAACTTTTTCACTTTCTTTTTTGAGGTGGGCTTATATTAGATTAGATTAGAAGTAGCAGGTTAATGCTGTGATCATCTGTCTTTTCAACAGTTGCTAAATTGCAGGAGTCAAATGTAAAGAAGAGTTTGGGTTAATGGAATACTTGTGGTTGCAAACTGATTCAGTGTCTTTTGTGATGTGGGTGTGTTGAGGTTTTTATCTTTGTGAATATGGATGCTTATCAATTTAGCAAAATGTGGTTTTGCTTTCAAAGTTCACCCAAAGCTAACCAATTTGAGAGAAATTTCATCCAAATCTACCAACATGGAAAAGAGAAGTTCTCGTGCAACTAAGTTAATGCATTTAATTGATGGTTGACATGTAATAGACTGTGAGGGCCTGGTAAAGATGATAAATTCTAAGGAATGAACAACTGAAGCTTTGTGTGACAAACGACAATGCAATGATGTTTCATTTTCAACTTTCTAGGTCTTGTTAATCAGGAAGTTTTTCCACATCTGACTTTCCCTTTTCTTATTTAGTGCTGTCTCTCAGCTCATTTTCATTGCTAGTTTTCACTATGGCGAGAAGTAATGTTTTCAATCTGTTTAGAAATGGCTAAAAGTTTACCACATCATCGGAATATCTGCTTTGGTGGTTATCATGGAAGCTTCATCCTGTGATACTGAAGTCTTGACCTAGCCATAGCTCCATTTCTACCTTAGGACAATCAAAGGCCAACCTATTGCCACATATTGTATATATGCTGCACTATTTTGGAGTGGACACTTAACAGTTGCGATGAGAATGTTCTTGAGTTTGCATTTAAGGGAGCCACCTTCCTGGATGTGTGTTTGTGAGAATGATACGGTGCCTACCAGAGCTGTCGGTAAATTTAGAAGATTTGTATGACTCTTGTGGGTTTTGTAATGGAGAAAAGATGCTATTAAAACTTTCTAATTCTCCTTAGTATTTTTCGGGAGAACAGTGCAGTATCCTGTGAAGATGTTAGAAGCATGTTTTTTGGATTGTGCTCTTATTCTTACTGGGTGCAAAATGCATTTGATTAGAGCTATTTTTTAGATATAATTATTCTGGAAGAAATTGACCTTTTATAATTATGTGGTCACATAATGGGAATGAGCCTGTCAGTTCAATATTAGAAACTGATTATGCTTGTTGTTTATTTATTTTTTGATGTATGAGGGGTTGGTCATGCTTTGCATTCCAATTTGCAAAGTTCTGCTGGTGGTAGGTGGACAGCCCAATTGGCATATTGTCATCTGAAAGTTTTTGGTATCATCAATAACTCCTTTCTCATTCATGAGTAGAAGTAAATCGAAATGCATATGGATCAGTGCTCATGTTTGCAACCAACTTCTCCGGATGTACACAGGGATAAAGATTATTCTGGTTGTTTCTTGAAGAAGTGGTCAATGCTCGCAAAAGTGCTCATGAATAGTTAAGGTTTGTGTGGTAAGGTTATGCTTGCCTTGAAAAATACATAGTGTGGGGGTGGTAGGTGGGAGGGTGTTGATTTTAGCGTAGATTCATGATCGTGGGCCACCAAGTTACAAGCTCCATTCTCATCCAATAAGTAAAAGTAAATTGAAATGCATCCAGATCAATGCTCATGTTTATGACCAACTCATCTTTATGTACTCGGTGATAAATTTTGCTTTAGAGAAATTTTTATTGTCTTGAAGAAGTTGTCAATGCTTGCAAAAATGCTTAGAAATATTTAAGGTTTGCTTGGTTAGGTTATGTTTGCCTCCAAAATGTACATGTGGGGGTGACGTGGGAGATTGTCAATTTTTGGCATTGTGAAGGAACTGATTAGAAGTTGGACTTGTTTCTTTATGATATCCAATCCAGTTAAATAACTCCTTTGCAATGATGTCATCCATTAGAACATCTAGAATATTAATCAAGAGAGTCATGGAAGTTACAGGAATCTACCAGCTTAAAATCATGACAAAAAAGATTGATAACTTGAATTAAACAGGAAAGAGTCTCATTCGACAAGTAATGCCATATGTGATCTTCATTTTATTCAAAAAAAAAGCTTTGGGTTGGTTATTGTTAGTTCTCCTCATGCATGTTTTTAGAATTGATCTTCTCTTTTTTTTTTGGATCTGTGTTATAGAAAAAAATTGGAGCGATGGTCATTTGAAGGCGGTATCTTCATTCGTGTGATTTCTTGAGCTAGTTGATAGTATATTACATCAGTTATCAGAAAAATGAAAAATAGTTTTTACGAGTCATTGGTCAAATTTTCATTTTCTTGGTCATGCAAGGTGCCTTGCAAGCCCCTAGTATATTCAAGCTGTTTGAAGAATTTTAGCTGATTCAGGTTGTAGCTGACTCTGATATTTATTTACAGGTTCCTGCTGAGCAAAAGCTACCATCACTCTATCTTCTAGACAGTATTGTGAAGAATATTGGGAGGGATTACATCAAATACTTTGGTGCCAGGCTCCCTGAGGTTAGATTTTTCATTCAAATGTAGTTTGTAGTCATTGTGTTACTCTCTCTGACTATCTGATGCATTTTGTTTAATGGTGTTCCATTATGTAATTGATGTAAAATATTGCGATAGAATTGAATATCAATATTAAGGTTATTCTTCCCATTATCTTGTGTTCTCCACTTTGTGAAATATTATTCTTGTTAAACAGCTACACATAAATAATTGTGTCATATCTATTAAAAAAGTAACACCCAGATTAGTCCCCATTTATGGTTGTCAGGGAGGGGTAGATGGGTGTTAGACATAACCTTTGACATTATTTGTGCATTGTGGCTGCCCTCATGTTCGGACCCATAAGCTGTTATTGTGGCATACCTATTGCACTAAAATAATTGGCCCCATGAGGATTTGCTTTATTGTCTGCTTTGGTATGCTTCGTGTGCTGTTACTTTAATATCATTTGTTAGTTGCTCCTTTTGGTGCATCTTTTAGGTTTTCTGCAAGGCATATAGACAGGTTGACCCTTCAATACATTCTGGTATGCGACATCTTTTTGGAACTTGGAAAGGAGTGTTCCCTCTGCAGCCACTTCAAATGATTGAGAAAGAACTTGGTTTTACACCTGCTGTCAATGGTTCATCTTCTGGAACGACAACATCTCGGCCTGATCCACAATCTCAACGCCCAGCACACAGTATCCATGTAAATCCCAAGTATCTAGAGGAGAGGCAGCGTCTTCAGCAGTCTAGCAGAGTAAGAGACAATGCAAAATCTTTCTTTTTGGGTTTTTTATTTATCATTTTTGTACTCCTATGTTTTCATGTAAAACTGTTTGAGATATACTTGAATTACCATGTGATATTATGTTGAGTTTCAAAATCACTATGTAAGAATTCTTTCACTACCAAGAGCAATAATTCTTACCCAAATCAAAAATATAATTCCAGGGGCGCTAGTATTTAATGTATATGCACAATTTCAAACCACCATAGAGTGTACAGAAATCCATGATTAATAAAGTTTAAATTATCACTTTTGCTTATGCAAGCCAAATTTATTGTATGGGCTGCATTCATGATTCCGTCATAGTACATATATGTGTGTGCACAGCAGAAAGGGGTGATAAAATAACTTTGAAATGCTCAAAATTTTCCACAAAAATGCAAGCCATACTCCTGTCTTTCGTTTATATAAAGTGGTATCTTAGATCATATCTTATTGTGCAGATTATAAACGTGAGTTTAACTGAATGAGAGCCTTTGACGAACAAACCTTTATTTAGTTGTGAGCATGATTTGCTCTTCTTCCCGTATTTTGAAAAAAAAAGGTGCCGTGGCCCCTAGGCTGACTTGTGTTTGCAATATCATACTGGCAAGTCACTGGGTGATGGGTTTGTGTTTTTTTGTTTGAAAAATAAGCCCTTCCAAACATAATAGGGCCTACGAACACAGAAACGTGCACACAGACAAACACACATTACATATGCTGTCACTTGCACGAACTTATGAGATGGCTATGGTTCTATTACCAGAAATCGTTGTGGATGGTTTTCCTGTGTAATATCCATATATTTGAATTTCAACATTCTTTGGGTGGATCAGTTTGGCATTTAGTTCCCTTTAATTCACTCTTTTTTTGTGTACATGTGTGTGATGAAGGCGAAAGTAGCAACCAATAACATTAAGGGGTCCCTTGGTGGTTCACCTGAAGATGCAGAGGGACTGGACAGAACAGCCAGGGGTAGTTCTGGGATGCCATGGACTGATCCTCCTGTTAAGATACATGTATGGGAAGTAATTTTTGAATTTGCATGTCTAATGCAATGTGACCTATGGTTATAAATTTTTGAATTTTTGTACTTGCATGTCTTTGCAGGATATTCAGCATCCTCAAAGAGACGCTCTAAGTGGACCTGTTAGAGAGAAGAACATTGTGCCTGCACATGGAGATTATGAAGGTGGTTCTGATCTTCTAAGGCGTTCAGGCTTGGGAGTTGGACGATCCCGTGAGAGGATTACGGAGCAAGGATTTGAAAAGCCTGGGTTTGGAGCTGGTGCCACCGTCACAGAGACAATATCCAGCCAAAAGAATGGTTTTGATATCAAGCATGGATTTCCAAATTATCCAGTTTCTAGATCAGCAATCTTTGATGCACATCTACGGCCAACACATGGCCTTGCAAGTAGAAGCAATAGTGTGATGAATAAAAGCTGGAAGAATTCTGAGGAAGAGGAATACATGTGGGATGATATGAACTCTAGACCGGCGGATCATGGTGCAACCAATAATGCAAGGAAAGATCTTTGGACACCTGATGGTATTGAAAAATTGGTAAGTTCTAAGAAGAATAATTGGACGCTTAAATGATGAAATCTAATATGTCAGTCGGCCACCAGTAGTGCAATGGCAACTTGCTAATTCAGAAACCCATTGCTCGGGAACATAAATTAAGAGTCACTTGTGAAGGAATGTTTTCTTTTCTCAGATTTCTTGGAAGCTCCAACCAAAAAAAACTGAAGATGGTTACTTAAAAAAACAGGTGTGCCCCATATATTTCACACGATGAGTGGGAGGCATATCTGTGTTCACAAAGCTTAAAACACAATGACTAGCCTGTTTTGTTATGCTGGTGTCAGAATAGTTTGTTAGGATTAAGAATAACTCTAGTTTTTAGGTCAAACTCAGAAACTTTTAATCTCTTTTTTTTTGTTGGATTCACCTGCCAGAATAAGAAGCTTTGTTGGTTGCAGCTCTATTTTTGATTTTTCATAGGATATACCGACATAAGGTTTAGATATCTTTCTTTTGGCTGATATATTTAACATATGCAGGACTTTGAAAGCCAGCTTCGGAAACCACAAAGCGAACTTGATGCTGGTTCAAGGGTGGATAGGGAGCCTTCAACTGATTCTCTATCCACAGAAAAAGGGAGCAAGCTACTTTTGGGCATCGAATGCCATCAATGTGGTCGCAGGAGGCACATTTAACAGATGGAATGAGTGGGAGAATGGGTCATTCAGAAGGTAATACAGTCTCTTACAAGGAGTTATCGACACCCGGCAATTCTGTGGCCAGAACACGTATTCAATCCTCGAAGGAGCCATCTTATACTGGATCCCTAAGCTTTGGGCTTTCAACAAAAGCAGTGTCAGGGTCCACTGGATCCTTAGGGCAACAGCGACACTCTTTAGGAGCTGCATCACCATCTGCACAGTCATCCATGCACCAACCTCCTCCCTCTCCTTCATTCTCAGGGCACTATTCCGATCAAATAGTGCACAATTTAGCTGAAAGAGACCATCCACTAGCTCAGGCCCCACCTAATGTGGATTTAAGATTAACTCAATCTTCAGGATTGAACAAAGGACCTAATAATCCATTCTCTCTAGATTCACTGTCAATGCCACATCAGAGTGCTCATCTGAGCGATTCACAAAAATTGCTGCCCCAAAATTTACAGACTTCATCTACTACGACAACTAATCTTCATCCAAGGCACCATATTCCCTTTCCACAATGGCTACATCCCGAATCCAAACAGTCTGAACCTTCGGAACAAACCTGGAAACCTCCACTGCCTCCAACCATGGGAAATTCTTCAGCGGACCAATCAAATCCTCTTGGTGCAGATGCCTCAGGACAGTTGAGTACCAGTAGTCTGCTGGCTGCTGTTATGAACAGTGGAATACTCGGTAAAAGCTCTATTACTGGTAGTCTACCTAAATTGAGTTTGCAAGATGCTGGGGCAATGACATCCCAAGCAGGTGTGCAACCTCCTTTACCCAGTGGCCCCCCTCCTACCCACTTTACGTCCTCTGGGCCCAAGTTTTCACCTGCATCTCTTTTGAATCTACCTACACATGAAAAGACAGAGGTTTCTACTGTGATTCCTGAGAGAAAGGTAGAATTGCCACCACTGCCACCTGGCCCTCCACCATCTTCTCTTGTAGGCAGTGCCTCATCACAAACTTCCAATGTGATGACTGCTGCCTCTAATCCAATGTCAAGTCTCCTTAATTCATTAGTTTCCAAGGGTTTGATATCTACATCAAAGACAGAGTCAACCGCAATTGCTCCTCCCCAGATGCCTCTTCCAGCCCAGAAGCCAGCCATTGCTACCACTACTTCAATCCCGGTTTCTTCGGTACCAGTTTCCTCAGCTGTCCCACTTTCATCTACTTTAGATGAGCTTTCTTTTTCCACACCTGCTGCTCAAATCTCCAGTGTCTTACCCCAACCCACCACAGAAGAGATAAAAAATCTCATTGGTTTTGAGTTTAAGTCGGATATCATTCGAGGCTCACATCCAGCTGTGATCAGTGAACTCCTTGATAACCTCCCATATCAGTGCAGCATATGTGGGCTTCGCCTCAAATGTCAGGAACGTTTTGATAGACACTTAGAGTGGCATGCATCGAAGAATCCTAAACTGAAGAGTTCAAGTAAGCCTTCAAGGGACTGGTATGTAGATTCCATTGAGTGGGTTTCCGGTAAGGCTGGCATGCAATCTGGTGTTGGATCCACTGGTCCATTGGAATGTTCCAGAAAGGCAGTGGAGAGTATTGAGGAGATGGCTCCTGCAGATGAAAGTCTGTGTTTGTGTGTTTTGTGTGGTGAGTTGTTTGAAGACTTTTACAGTCAAGAAAGGGATGAATGGATGTTCAAAGGAGCTGTTTACATGGCTATCCCATCCAGAGACTGTGAGACAGGAAATTCAAGTGATGGTGCCGCTCAGGGACCTATTGTGCATGCAAAGTGTATATCAGAAAGTTCAGTTCATGATTTGGGGCTAGCTGACAATATTAAAATGGTAAGTTTTTTTTTCCTAATCTTTTAGAGAAGGATGCCAGCAATCTGGCCCCTGTCATGTTTCCTTGTCGTACATTTATCAGAATTGGGCCTACCTTGTCTCGTCCAATTTGATCATGGATGCTTCCCAATTGGCTTTCTTGGAGCCTCAACAGATTGCCAAAGAATGCGAGATTTAGTTTGAATGCTTGTATAGGAGCAGTTTAACTGCTGGTCCCTCATTTTTCAGATGCTTGGTTGTCAAATTCTGGAAAACTGTGGCAGGTTTAGTACATGCATTCTAATTTATGCTTGCTTTTCAAATTGGTTTCTCATTACCGCTGCCGTTGTTATTTTAGTTGTTAGTGGGAGCCCATTCATGTTAATATCTGCCCCCATCTGTCTCAATCTATGAAACACGGACACTTTCAAGATGGTGACGTAGGTGACGTATTCGTGTCGGACATGTGTCGGACACCGACACTCTTCGGACACGTGTCTGATACTCTTTTATCCGTATCCATAATTAAATAAATTTTTTATCCGACACTTCTTTAGAACATTTCTACTATTAAACAATAAATATGTGTTTAATGTGATGAACAAAGTTTAAAATTTTGAAATTTTGAGAACATAAAATTACTAATACTAGACATGTTAAAATTGTAGTCCAAATATAATAATAAAAATAAAAGAAGCATAGAAGTTTAAAAAAAAAAAAATTGAGAAAATGAGAGCAATTATTTAAATTATATATTAGGTGCACATTATCTACAAAAAAAAAATTGATAATTATTGATTATTATGATGATGTTTTAACTTAAAAATTTACACAAATGATTGCACATAAGATTTACTTATCATAAAATATTGAATCTTTTATGAATTGTATATTATTATCACTATATTTGTGATAAATTATAATAATATGTTATATATGAAATATAATTTTTTATAATGTATCCCCAACGTATCCGTGTCTTTAATTTTTTGAGAAATGTCGTGTCTGCGTATCTGTGTCCTGTATATGTGTCTGTGCTTCTTAAGTCTCAATACAACCATAGCTTAATTGCCATGCTTCTTGTAGCTTGGGTAAGCAGGTACTCGTGCTAACTTAATTACACGTGTTATTTAACCTCTATATTTCTCTTTCATTGCCTGTTCCATCCCGAGTTTATCTGTTACTTCGCAAATGTGCTATACTTGTCAGGAAAAATGGGCTTTGTATTGTTGCTATTATAAGCTTCTTATTGGGGACTTGGATAGGAAAATCGGAAGATTTAATCTGAAAACTCTGTACCTTCCTCTGGATAATCAATTTATTTTGACGTACCTCAAAATGAGAAATATAGCTGGATGTAGGAACCTTGAACCGAATCACAGCTAGACCCTGCTTTGGTGTTGTGGCGCTCTTTTTTTGGCCCTTATTTTTTTCTTAGTTCATTTTATCTCTGGCTATTCTTTGAAAACGCCATAGCTCTTTCTGATGGATAATTGATGCTTTCTTATTGCTTCTGTAGGAAATGGACGCATAATGTTTTGAGCTGAAAATAAGATGACGTCACAGTGTAGGGGCAATGGTTGAAAAGCTGATGGAGGACATCCAGGTTCACTGTTAATGGCCTGTAGGCCCATGGTCCTTGCATGCTAATGCACCTTTTTCCTGTGCTGGTGCCAACTTTTTTGTCTGTTCTAGGTTTTCTTATAATTTGTTCACAACTGAAAGAAATATATAGAAGCCAGATAGTTTGCACAGCATTTTTCTTCTTGATGTTATAGATATGTTGTTCTGAAGCAAAAATTTGACTCGGTTCCAGCTTCTGTGCTAGCAGTTTAACAAGCAGCATTCCAGGCACATAGGTGTTCAAGATCAACGTCACCAGCACTGAAGGGATGCCCCTATATCATCAAAACAGAAAATGAGCTTGTGCCTTTTCCGTCCTCCCACCCCCCCACCCAAAAAATAAAAAAGACTGAAAAAAAAAATCATGTTGAGATTTACTTTTTTGTTGGCAGAGCATTGTTTGTCTGACACAATGATGGATTTTCTTATATTAGCTATCTTGCGTGACAGTATCCATTAGCATTAAGGCTTTTGTTAAGTTAAAAGTAATAAACTTTGGCGTTTTGTTGCTCCTTATGTTACTTCAATGATGTTCTTTCTCCTCGTTCTCTTTAGTCTTGAAAGTTTGTATTCCTATATGAGAGTATGATTGATGTTCCTTCAAGTTCTTTCAAAGGACAGGTTTTAGTTTTTAAGTTTCTGCTATGGGAAAGATTATTGTTCCTCACTTTTCCACATTTTTTTATGTTTGTAGCATCTTTTTCATGGTAGAATTTTGCTGTTGGAAACCTGGAATCGTAGTATTAATTTTAGTATTGGCATTGAATTCACAATTCCTGTTGCCATTTCAAGTGCCTGAATGTATCAGAATTACTGCTTGTGATTAAAGCTTATGCATTACTGGTACAAATTGGTGAATTTGTAGTATGTTCCCTTTTTGGTGTGCGGTTTTTTTTCATTGTTCTCTCTTCTGTTTTGTGGTTGGGTGTGGTGCTGGAAAGGGGGGTTGGGTTTGGATTCTAAGTCAAGATCCTCGACGTTAACAATTGAGACCACTTCTCCCCATGGATGTATTCATTTGTGCTTGTGAGCAAGTTTTCAATACTGTGTAAATTACAGGGCATAAAATGCATCCATCATATACAGCAGTTGTTCTTTGGGGCGGATTTTGACGCAATGGTAAGATTTTTTTATTGAGATTTGGTCAGCAAGTGTTCGATGCAAAGGTAAGATTCCCTGTATTCCGAGTTCTAAAGCACGGGTGTCCTATGTAGTAATGAACTTTTAAATTTTTGTGTGAGTACGACTTTGTTATCTTCCTGCTATTGTTCATGTGATGGATTTGTTGGTATTCATGTAAAGGTCGGAGACAATTTTGAGAATCAGCTTGATCAAAAACCCTACAAAAAAGATGTGGACCTGTTCTGTCTTCTCCCAATGTCCTGTATTATTGACAGCCTAATTCTTACTGATAAAGCTGCTAAGTACCTGTGGGACTTGAAATCTGTAGCTGATGAAAGTTAATTTTCACCCCTCTCTCTCTCTCTCTCACACACACACACACACACACACACACAGATATGCATGTATATGACAAACCCAACCAGGCTAAATACTAGCCAAGTAACACAAATCAAGAGTGAAGGAGGTAGTGGGATCTTGGCAACACCACCAACATAAGGATAACAGGGTCTATTTGGGTGTATAATGGGTTCGTTTGGGTGCCGTATTAGAAATAGATAGATTAGATAAAATAATTAAGTTTAATATAATACAAAAAGGCAAAAGATTAGATTAAATGAGGTATTAAAATAATTAATAATTTTATTTAGTGTTTGACAATTTACAACATAAACGTTGGATAATAGTTATTTAATCCAATCAATTGTTTGGTTAAGAAATTATGTTATTGTATTAATGTTGAATTAATAAAAATACCCCAATTAGTGTTTGTTACATTGATGATAACTTGATTTTATCAATTGAAATGTTATAATAGTAAATGTACAAAATAATACATTTGAGTTGGATTATAATACCATTTCTCTTCGTGGTATTAAAATCTATTTAATACAACACATAACAACTTGAATTTTTATCCATTATATATTTTCCCCTTAAAAATATCACATAACTTATTTCTATCTCATGTTTAATTATTTACATATTTTCCACCTAAAAATATTACATCATTCAATTTTATTATATGTTTAATCATTTAATATTTAATTAATTTATAGTTAATATAATATTTATTTCAAACATTATCCATATATGATAATATACACATGTTAAAAAAATTTAATATAGTGGAATCGATTTTTTGGGCGCTCAAATTTTATGATTTATTATGTTTTTAGACACGTGTTATAACTAGTACTTTCATAATATAGGTTTATCGTATAAAAAATATACGAAAAGTATAAAATTAATATACATTTTTTAAAATTAATATGATATTAAATTTGTTTACCAAATAAAATATTAGACTCGATTAAATAAAAAATAATACAATCCCTTCATAATACGTCTATCAAACTAATACAATGTTTTCTCTCACTTAAATTGGAATTCAGCAATGACTTGCATGATGAATGCCTTGACCTTCATTGTTCTCGATTTTCTAACTAGTAAAATGTGTGTATATGAGTAATGCTAGATGGATTTAAAAAATAAACTTAAAAATTAGACTTGATGATCTCAACTATTGAATAGGTAGTGGGTCTCAATAAATACTGGGATCTATACTGAAATCAATGGTTGATATTATCAAGTCTAATTTTTAAATCTATTTTTTAAGTTCATATAGCATTACTCATGTGTATATATATATATATATATATTTTTTTCTCTCAAGGAATAAAGGTGTTCTTATCAGTTTAAGCACACTTCAACTAATTAATTTCTTAGTTTGGTCAAAGATGCCTCTACACTAAAATTAGGATATTTATAAGACATAAATTTTTCATGATCGAACTCCAAAAAAATTATTAATATTTAAACTTAGGATATTTGGACTTTTATTGCTCTAGGTTCTACCTCTGCACCTGTTGCTTCTGAAAAATTCAACTTCTGATAAACAAATAAGTTCACTTTTTCTATTTCTCATTCATTACTTATGGTCCGGTTGACAGGAAGGATGAAAAATATATAATGAATGAATTTTCCATCCTTAGAGGAAAGAAAACCATTTTTCCACCTTTTTGTTTCGATAGAGATGGAAAGTTTGATGGATTAATTTTTTATTGTTTGGTATTGAAGGAAAAATGAAAAGAAAGAAAACACATGCAAAATTAATTTACCACTATATCCTCACTAATAAAACATATTTTTAAATATAATGTTTGTGTTTTTTAGAAATTTATTGAAATTAATTAGTGAGAGATATACTAAAAAATTGTACCATATATAAGAGCAATAATTATTGACATGATATGATAAGATGATACGAACTCCAAACGTAATTTTGATATTACATTCTTGCATCACAGGTAATACAGGTTAATCCGATACGATGTAGTAATAAATTGATTTAACATCAAAGCATGTTACACAACTTTTTAAATTGATCGGACTATAATTAATCAGTTGGATCGTATCATATTGAGTTCTTACCGTGTTAAATTTATTCAACTTTTACCCATAATCAGGTTCTGATTTTATTTAATTCGTACATACAATTTTTGATTATTCTTTGTTTACTAATTTACCAATTTACCCTCACATGTATATATATAAATATATGTACACTTATATTATATACAAATGGGTGGATATTTAGACAACACACCCAACCTACTGTTAACCTCCACCAAATAAAAAAATTAAAAATAATAGATGTTGTGCTCCTAATCCAGCTTTTCATTGCAAACTGAAGCATTGGGGGTAATGACATGAACTAGTATTGATTGGCGGTTAGACATCCATTGACGACAGAAATTATGAATGATGCATTTAAAAAGTAAAATTGTAAAATTATAATTTTTCAGCTCATTTTTCTGCCTTTCTCTTCCTTTTCTGTCCAAAATTGAAAGGAAAATATTTCGTGGGCGGAAGGATGAGAAATCCACCCCACTTTCCTTTCCATTCACCCACTTTTCTATCCAACCAAACAGACTATTAAGGAAACCATGCACTCAATCAAGCCATTATCGGCACGTGGACCCCAGCAACAGGGTGGGACCCACTGCTGATCAACAGCAGAGATCCCATTGGATGGCTTTATTAGCTAAAGCCGTCCCACACTAATAATATCACACTTATCAATAAAGCAGTTTTTTCTTTGAACTTAATTAATAGAGCAGTTAGAATAGTGTTTTTTTTTTGGTAAATTTAGTATTTTATCCTTGCGTTTTACAAGTTTTGTGAGTTAAGATATAGTTGTTTTGGGTTTGTTTGTAACAAATTATTTTTATAACTTCTTAAGCCATACTTTTATGATTTAAATTAAAAAGACAATACAATACAATACACTATTTATTTATTATATTAATATCATTTATAACATATTCTTCATGTTCTACTTTCTCCATTAAATTATCAATTTTACGAAATAAGAGAGATGAAGGGACACAACTTCTAAAAGATTATCCCTCTTTCTCTATATATAGAAAATAAGAAGTTGGACAGATTGTATACTAAAAAAAAAAGAGGTAAAGACAATACAATTTTAAGGGTATAAAATGTTTGATAGCTGGAAGTGAGTGGTTCACTGCCTGTAGCCGTTATATAAGGTTTTTAACCTTCCCATCCTAAAACTACAGCCTCTTAGATGCAAGCACAGAAGCCGTTATCGTTATAAAAACACAGAAATCACTAAAGCGATAGAAGCACATCTTGCACCTGAGATGATTCATGACAGAAGGGGAGGTATAAAAAGAAGCAAATTAACACATCCCCCCTACCGCAGAGTAGTACTAAGTCCATGAACTAGCTTTCTCCACGCCTTCTTACTACACTAAAAAGGCCTAAGAGACAACAACATGAGTATGCTACTTTCTGCGAGAATGCATTCTAATGGTTTGTCATATTCCTACTCCAACTCCTTTGAGAATGGCCCTCCCTACTACAGACTACGCTCGGAAAGTCGGTGAGAAGCAAGAAGAGAAGAGAAGTCCCGAGAAGTACTTCACTTAGCCTTTCTCTAGTAGTTCTTCCCCTCCTTCCTCACTACGCTTCGCTTGACTTGAGTTGGGATATTCAATAATCACTCTCTAACATTTTCATGTTGCCTTTCTATTACTCTTCCCCTTTTTCATATCAACTTTGTATTTCTCTTCCCGAGTGCTTTTTTGATCTTCAATCACTCTTTTTTTGATTTTTGGATCTAATCTTTGTGGGTCTTATTGAAATTAGGTTTGTCTTGGTTAATGGTAGGCACCACATATGGAGCATATGGAGAACTTTGTTAAAACAAGTTGGATAAGTATCATTGCATCAAGGAACAATGCAAAGACAACTTATTTGACACTGTTGGGCAACAATTTGAAGAATGTGAAGGTTGCTCTATGTCGTCCAAGGATTAAAAGGGTGGTTATATGTTACGTTCTTATGATCACATTCCTCAGGTTTATCTCAATCATTCTTTTGAATTCAGGTGGTTTGGTTTTACTCATTGAATGGAGTGTGAGTGATTGAAACTTTTGTAGCATGGGAAAGAACATGCCCAAATAATTGATGGATTGTAGTAGAGGATAGAATCAAGTATGTTGATCAACATACCCTCAAATTAAACAAAATCATGAGACAAGTGTTTTGACTCATGAAATGAAGATTGATGTTAAGTTGCTATCTTTTTTGTTGTTGTAAAATTTCTATTAATTTTGTTTGTTGATTGCATGTTTCTTATTGAAAACAAAAGGACATTCCAACTTGGGGTCTGTTAGAAACCTGCTTTTAGTTTTATCCAATGAATGCTATTTTATTTAAAAAATTAAACCAAGTATGATTTACCAATTTATTAGCAATGAAAGACTTGTATGAGTTGTTTCAACTTTAGTGGGTTTTCTAATGTCAAAAGTAAGGAGTTGTTTTAAGACCAATTAGGAGTATCAATACTTCTATCATGCTTGTCTTACGCTTTAGATTTTTTAATTGGAGTAGGTGATGTATTCGGGTTTCAAATATTTGTGCAATTATTTGTAGCTTAGAAACATTGTACATCATTTATGTTTGTTCAAATTTTTTTACTAACATTGTTGAGGTTTACCAAAGAATGTGCTTTGGGTCACAACGGATTATTTTATTATTCGTATTTAGATGACATCATTAAATAAGTTAGGGTAATACCCCACACACCATACATAATTGATAATCATTTTTTGTCTCTTTATGTGAATCATTCTCAAGTATATGATCAATTGTTCAATAACTAGAGTAACATGATTGTTTATGGTCTCCAATTAAGAATTAACATTCTTTTTACCTATATGCTAGATAAAATTTTAAATAAAAATAATCATATGATTTTTATTTCTGTTTCTGGTTTAAGTGTTACAGACAAAGAAGCAATTGGACATAGCAATGGAGTGATACTACTGCTATCTAATTTATTTATTTGTTTATATTTTGATGATGCACAAATTGAGCTTGCACACCATCTGTCAGATGAGCAGTAATAAATGCATTAGTTAAGAAGTGAGAGATGGAGACAAAAGCAAGACAAATGTTTATAGTGGTTCGGTCAATCTGATCTACGTCCCATTTGAATGGCTAGGGTCGCCAGGATATTTTATTACTTCAAGTGTGTAGGGAGAATAGGGAGATACAAGCTAAGAGAGATAGGAGAGATGTGCTCGACTGAATGTGATGCCTCCCATGTGTTGGCGGTACTTACAATTTATAGTCACCTCATAACAAATTAGGGTGAATTACTAGTAACTAAGTGGTTAATCTGGTGGAGCTGGCGACCTCTTCTCAACGGGCGAGAGGTAGTTACGGTGCTCTCTATGAGATTCAGTTAAAGGGTGACGTGGGGGTTGACCCCTTCCGAGGCGGCGTGAATAAGGCTCCTGGAGACCCTGCTTACTCCCTTGGCGAGCTTGATGGGGTATGGACCCCTTTGGGCTAGATACTAGATCTTTATAAGTTGGGCTTTTAATTTAAATTAGGCTTACAATGTGGGTTGAGCCCTTGGGTTTGACCAATCATTTGCCCTTCAATGCCCCATATCCAATGGAACTCAGAGAGGAGGCATTTGGTTGAATTTGAATTTGGCTGAACGCACAAGTAAAAAAACTTCGGTAGGCCAAAATATTTGTTTCTAGGGCTTTTAACAACGTCTATCATTGCCAAAAGTTATGACTCTTGTAAGGCTCGTCGAGAGTTTCGATTTGATATATAATAAGCCCCGTTTGGAGAAACAGATCAAAAATTACGATTAAAATAACAATCAACCCTTTTTGAACTTGAATTTCTTGGAGACTCCTTTTGATTGACGACTCCTTCCTTCCTTTAAACTCCTTTTGCTCGTAGGACATCATTAGCTATATAAACTCCTTCTTTCACTTTCCCTTTTGCATTCTTGAAGAGCTGTAGGTTAAAAATTGGGGCTTTTTACTTTTTTCTATCCTTAATAGGATTTTAAAAACCCTAGGCTATAAATAGAGGCTTCCTTCTTCATTCCACCCATTCCATACAATTTGGAGAGAGAGAAGGAGAGCTCTTTCCTAAAATCCTTCAAAAAGCTTCTTTAGGGTGTGCCTGGAATCTATGGCAAGTGAGGAGGTACAAAGGTTAGTCGACAAGGACATCCATAACAGCGAGGGGGATGGTCAAGAGGTTGTAGGAAAGAACATTAGTGAAGTTGTGGCATGGATTAACGAAGGCCAGATACTTTGCTTTGTTGGGACCGAAGGCCTATGCGCCCAAGTGGAGGCGCTGGGCACCAAGAGGGAGGCCCCAGAGAGGCACTGGACGTCAAGGAGATGGAGATAAGTGTTGGTCTGGGCGAGTAGGTGAAACTGGGCGTTGATCTGTGCGAGCAAGCGCTAAGGGGCCCGAATCTAGGCTAGCAACAAGCACTGAGGGTCGCTGATCTGGTCAAGTAGGTGCTGAGGGGTGCTGATCAGGGCGAGCAGGATGCTTGCGGAAAGGTCTTTGCATCATCAAAGTTGAGTGAGACTACTATTCGCACGTTGGGGTTGTCCAATGTTTGGGTTAGAGGCTCTACGAAGGAGATGCCAGATTTGGGCATCGCTAGCGTGCTGGGCCTTGTTATGTAGGCGTCCCAATCGTTGGGCACTGTTGGCCAAGTGTCCTAGGCACTGGGCACCGAGTCCAGGAGGGCCCAGGAGCTGAGCGTTGTGGTCAGGGCGACCGAGGTGCTTGGCGAGGAGCTGTTGGCAGCGGGCGAGGCACAGCTGGTGACAGGCACTTTTGTTGGTGACAATTTTGATAATGTGGTAGATGATTTGGCTCATTCAGGTGGAACTCCTCAAAATTAGATTCCTCAAGGTTTCCCTGGTAGTGGCTCGGGCAATGTTTCACGCCCTCATAATAGAAAACACTAAGGGAAGATAGCTCTTGACGATGATGGATCCAAAGTGAGTACTATTTCTAGCACTTTTAATACAAACGTTGATATTTTGCAGATTGTCTCTGCTTACCACATTCCTCCTACGGTATTGTACCATCGAGCCGAGATGGGTGAGCTTGCTTGTGATGACTCATCTCAAGACATTACTATTTATGAGAAGATGTTTGATGTTGGGCTCAGGTTCCCAATGCCTTCTTCCATTTGTCGTATTTTGTATTACTTTTCACTGACATTGGGGCGGTTGGCGCCCAATAGTTGGAGAGTTTTGTTGCGTTTTCTGATATTGTGGAGAAAGGTGCATCATGAAGATGCTTCTCCTGACGAGTTTTACGCAACTTATAATATGAGTGATACTCCTACTCCTAATTGAGGCTGGTATTATTTACTACGAGAGGCGGTAAGTTGATTACCGAATTACGCTCCAACTGTCATAGTTGGAAGTCTCGTTTATTATTCGATGGTGGCGAGTGAACTTTAGAGGCTGATTGGACTTTGGTACCAACAGGATGTGATGCTCCTAAGAAATTTGGTACGCCCTACACTTACTCTCTTTCCTTTGTTTTTTTTTTTTTAACTGTGTACTCATTATACCCTTTGCAGATTCTCCTATACTCTTGAAGGATCAAGAGTGAAAGTTGCAGGCCGTGAGGGCTTATTTTGAAAAAGACTTTGGAGATCTTATGCTCAAATATGGTGGAGCCAGAGGTTCCCCTACAGTCGGTGCTAGGGCTGGTGCACCATCTCCGAGATCTGACGGTTCCTTTTGAAGAGAAAGTGTATGTTGATTCTCTTGTACTTTCCTTCTTTACTTGGTGTGTTTTTTTTTTTTATCTTGGTAACACTCTACCTCTTTTGCAATGGATAGAACAGTGGTCGAGTCCCGTTATTCTAGTAGGAACACTCCTCCTCCTAAGGTGGCGAGGATGAGCGAAGCATTGACGAGCTCCTCTCAAGTGACCCCTCCAGTGGTGCCTCCTTCAGATGTGATTGCTACTCCGGAGACTTCACTATTGACCACACCTCCTGCCCCTCATTCATTAACTCCTCCTATGAGAACTTCTACAGGGGCACCCACTCAGATTGGCTCCATGTTGGGTAATGTGCGAGTCATCAGAGATCAACTTGGGAGATTTGTGATTTTTCCTGACGTTAAAGAGATTAGTGCTATGGGCACTCAGGGAATTATCAACACCTTTTTGGAAGGCTTGGCTCAGGTAAAGGTCTTCTATCTCCCTTTTTCTAGTCCCTCCTTATGTGTTTGACGTTCCTTTGCCTTTTGTCTTTTTCAGGTTTCAACTGCACTTGTATGCTTGTTTTCAAGGACCCATTTTTACAGCCAACTGAAGCTTAGTTATGAGGTTATAAAGAAGGAGCTTCTCACTACTCATAGGAGGATTGCCGAACTTGAAACTGTTGGTAGGACATCTCAGGCTGAACTTATGGTGACTCATGAGAGGGTCGTGCTTCGAGAGGCTGCTTGCACGAGGGTTGAAGCAAAACTTTTGGTGACCCATGAAAGGGCAACTAAGCTTGAGGCTGAGCTTTTGGCGACTTGTGAGATGGACGAGCTTAGGGAGGCTAAGCTTGTGGAGACCCGCGAGAGGGCCTTAATCAGAGAGGCTACCTGCTTGAGAGTAGAGGCAGAGGCAAGGACAGCTCACGTAAGAGCTTCTCAGGCTGAGGTGGATCTGCTATTGGCTCGTGAAAGAGCCATCAAGGTTGAGAGTGAATTGGAAAGTGGCCTTGCAGATGCCTTCATTGATGGTTATGAGGAACTTCAGGGAAAGATCTCTACTATTTTCCCTGATATTGACGTTTCAGGTTTCGTGCCATATGAGGCGCCTGATGATTGTGATGGAGGCTCTGATAGTGATGCCGAGGAGGAGGAGGAGGATGACGACCATGAGAGTAGTTAGCATGCTTGAGACTTTTAATTTTTTTTTAGAAAGGCAGTTGTAACCTTACTTTTGTAAAAGTGGTTTTTTGCCACTGATGTTCTTTTTGAAATAGAATGCAAAGAACTTTTGAAACCAACTTAAAAATTTTATTCATTCACAGCTTATGTCAAGCAATAGTGGACAATAAACCCAAAAAAATACAAAAAATAAATGTTTTTACTCTGCTAAGGTATCATTGGTAGTACCTTTTCAGGTGCTCAACATTCCACGCATGGGGTAAACTCTTTCCTTCGAAATTCTGGATCTTATAGGTATCTGGCCTCACCACTTTAATTATGAGGTAGGGTCCTTCCTAGTTTGGTCCCAGCTTCCCTTCTCGCAAATTCTTTGTGACAATAATTACTTTCTTAAGGACCAAATCTCCTGGTTGGAAGGACGAGGCTTTACCCTCGAGTTGTAGTATTTCGCTATGCGGCGCTTGTACTCTGTGTTGCGGATCACAACCATTTCCCTTTCCTTATCTACCAAATTGAGGTTGATGCGGAGTCCTTCCTCATTGGTGATGGGGTCGTGGTGTTAGACCCTTAGGGAATGTACCCTGATCTCCACAGGGAAGATTGCCTCAGTTTTGAAGGTGAGGAAAAATGGAGTTTCACCAGTTGGGGTTCTCGGCGTCGTTAGGTAGGCCCATAATACGCATGGGAGTTCGTCAACCCAAATACCCTTTGTTCTTTCGAGCCTTGTCTTTAGGTTGCGTAAAATTGTTCTGACCATGACTATTGCCTGTCCGTTTTTCTGCGGGTGCACTAGGTTGGAATGAGGCTGCTTTATTTGGAGGTCGGAGCAAAAATAGTTCAAGTGCTTGTTGTTGAATTGCTTGACATTGTCACTAACAATGGCGTGGGGTATCCCGAAGCGGCAGACCAAATTTTTTCAGATAAAGTCTTTAACCTTTACATCTGTTATCTTTGCCAAGGGTTCGCACTCTGCCCACTTAGTGAAGTAGCCGACGTTTACTGTTACGAACTTGCATTATCCTCTGCTTAGAGGTAGAGGGTCTAGGATATCGATGCTCCATTTGAAAAAGGGCCACATACTTGTGATGACTATCAGCTCCTCAGGCAGTTGCCTAGGCACAATGGCAAAACGTTGACACTTATCACACTTTCTGGCGAACTCCTAGGCGTCCCTTAGCATGCTAAGCCAGAAGTAGCCCTATATGAATGCCTTGTGGGCAAGGGAGCGTCCTCTAGAGTGATTCACACAAACACCTTCATGGATCTCCCGCAGGGCATAGTTAGATTCTTCGAGTGAAAGACACCGCAGTAATGACAAGGAGCAACCTTTCTTGTACAAGGTGTCTTGTAAGATGGTAAATTTGGAGGTTCTTATCCTGAGTTTCTTGGCTTCCAAGTGGTCATCTAGTAATACGCCCTCCTAGAGGTATGCCCTTATGGGGGTCATCCAGCTTGAATCGACAGAAGCACAATTGACGTTTGTGGCTTCCACGTCTAGCTTGCTTGGTTTGAACTGGTGATCGATGAATGCTGGTCTTGGTGGGGCTTCCGAAAATGAGGTGAGCCTAGCGAGTGCATTTGCGACAATGTTGTCTTCTTTCGGGATGTGACAAATTTGGAAGTGGTGGAACTTAGTAAATAAAGTTCGCACCATAGCAAGGTGCTCCTGCATTCTGGCTCCTTTTGCCTCAAACTCACCCTTCACTTGGTTGACTATTAGTTGTGAATCGTTATAAGTGATGAGGTGTTGGGCTTCCATTTCGATTTCTAACCTTAGGCTAGAGAGAATGGTTTCTTATTATGCCTCATTGTTAGAGGCGATGAAATGGAGCTTCACAACATACTTGATGGGAGTGTCATTGGGGCTGATCAGGATTAGGCCTACTCTACCTTCTTTGTTGGTAGAAGAGCAATCCACATAGAGCTTCCAGAGTGGTCGAGAAGAAGGCTCGGAGGTCATTATGGGAGTTTGGGTCCCAAGTCTGGGCGCCTGGCAGGGGCACTTGGGTGTCTTGTCTGGGCTCCTGGGTGTCCTCACTGGGCGTCAGGGTGTCTGGCCTGGGCGCCTAGGTGTCCTCACCGGGCATCAGATTGTTTTGCGTGCTCGGGCTCAATGCTTGAGTGTCCGAATATGTTGAAGCTTGTTGAAGTGTGGAAGGCTCGTTGCTCTCTTCCTCTACTGGTGTGAGCTCTGTAATAAAATGTGCTTTGATGGGCACCGTTGGTTGGTACTGAACATCAAACTTGCCCAGCTCCACTGCCCACTTAAGGAGTCTTCCAGACACATCCGGCTTTCCCAGAACTCTCTTCAGAGGCTGATTCATGACAACAACAACGGTGTGACTTTGAAAATAATGTTATAGACACCTTAGTGTTGAGATCAGGACGAGCACTAGCGTTTTTAGTCTTGAATATCTGATTTCTGCTCTTGGGTATGCTCTGCTCATATAATAGATAGGTTTTTGCACTCCATCGTTGTCTCTGACGATGACATAGCTTACTGCCGATGAGGAAGTAGAAAAATACAGATATAAAGGGATTGGAGAGATACTTAAATAAATGACGCATTAGTTATTCAAAGACTTGTAGAATAAATGAATAATTAAATTTAGTAATAACTAAAATACGAATTAATTATTCGACACTTAATTTATTATTTAATTTAATTACTCATATAATTTAAGTTTTTTCTAAAAAAAATATTATTTAAATTTATTTACATGCAATACACGTCGTATATTATTAGTTTATAAAAAAAGAAAAACTTTGTACATGGAGATACGACACTGAATTTTTTTTTAGGTACCGTAGTTTTTTTTTTATCCGAGCTGTTCGAATAGTTGCACCACTACTAACTACCGTGGCAAACCAAAAAAATTCGTCTGGTATGTAAGTCAAAAACGACAGCATTTCAACAACCAAGACAATCTAAGGTGGCTGGCAATTTTAATGGGAATCTGTGAAGTCAACTTGTGGGTTTAGCAATTCCCAATGAAAATAGACATTGAGCCTGCTGACAAAGTGCTGTCCCTCTCATGTGTTTGTGCATTTGGAACTGAAACCTCCCAACAAACCAAAAAAAAAAAATACTACCCACAAACTATATGGAAAACTCAAACTGTAATAATTAACTAGTGAGTTGTGACTGAATCAAATTGCCCCCTCAGAGATTGACTTTGTGGCAAATGGCTGAAGAATTTTGCATAATATAGAATAGGCATGAGTCATGATCCAGCCCTCCTCAGGAAATAATTTATTTATTTTTAAGTTTAACGGCGATACTGTCCGAAATAACCCTTTCCTGATTCAATCAAAGACAGATAATTTATATCAGGATTATGGTATTCGTGAGAGATAAATCCTTGATGGCTTGACTTCAAAAATTTGTCAAGATTCAAACTCTAAAATATTTAAATTTATAACTTGTCCTTATTATCACTTAAATTACATTAAAATTAAGAAATATTAGCAATTCAGGAACACGATCATATTGAGATAAGATCAAACATGATCGTCCACGTCTGATTGCTACTACTCTCTCTTATTTATTTATTTATTTATTTTTGCAAAGAAAGAAATCAATATATTTCACTTGTAATAGACTAGGTGGTGAGTTGTAAGTGTGAGTATGTTCTTGGAACCACACCCATTGATTTAATCTTTAAATGAATTGTGTGATATTCAGGAGACAAGGGACTGTACGTGTTTGAGAGAATTAATCGGGTGCTCTAAAAAACTTGAATACTTTCTAATAAACTTCAAGTACACTTGTAGTTTCTATCCCACAAAAGCCATTTATACATTAAGATAAGATCATAAAGAAAAATATTGCTATATTTATAAATACTAATTACAATTTTTGTTGTTGTTTCTTGCTAAGCCATCCTAGTTACATATGATTTCATATCTAACCCAACTAAGTAACTAGAAGGTCTTAATGATCATAGGAGTAATTGCAGAAAAGCCTATACCCATCATCTTCCTTCTTATGGTAAACCTTTATGGCTTAGGCTTATGCTGGGTATAAATATAGTCCAGGTGAGCCTCAGCAACCATCCTTCTCTTCAAACAGTCTTCATCTTTATCAATGCATTTCTCCAAACCCAATAGCTGCATATAATCAAGAGAGCACAAAACTTAGAGGTCGACAACACACATATGAATATACAAATAATATTGTGCACGAGGCACCCATTATTGCTGGATCTCGAAGAATCGGATGTATGCAGTTTTACCGACATGCGAAAATACTATTTCTGAAAAATATTCGATAATCACTAATAGAAAGAAAAGGGCACAAAATGACCCAAAAATATGCTTACATTTGAGATGTCATCTTCTTCTGCCCTCAAGTATGAACCTGCTTGAGAGATCCCATTAGCCTGAGCCTTATGATCATCTGTAAAAAAATGTATGAGAAATTACAGGAAGATATATATGTGTGTGTGTGTGTGTGTGTACATGCCTATATTTTTGTAACATATCAAAGAAGAACTTTTCCTACCTTGGTTGGGTGGTAAGAGACGAGCAGAAGTTGTTGAGTGGAAAAAGAGTAGCGCAGCAAAAAGGAAGCTGAGAAACCAAGGAGAACCCTGCTTCATTGCTTCTGATGATTTGTGTGTGTGTATGTTTGTGTGTGTGTGTGTGTGTGTGTGAGAGAGAGAGAGAGAGAGAGAGAGAGAGGCCTCAAGGACTGAGGGAAGATGGTCCAGTTGGGGCTTGTATATATAACAACAAAAAAGGCTGTTGCTAACTTGCTATGCACCAAGTCACATGAAGACCCTCCAAAGAAAGGAAGTTATTACTCTTAACTTAAAGCACTGTTATCTTATCCCTACGAGTACTCCACCATGGTTCAATTCTCTTGTCATTTTCACACTGGTCCATATTGCTGATTCATTACATAAAAGTCCAATAAAAACAAACAAGAAATTAGGAGTTAATAGTCATTACACATGGGGGGGGGGGGGGGGTCAACTGGTCAAGCTTTGGACTAACCATGGCCGACAACTGTCTTCCACAACTCCACCTGCAGCTTAATTTCCTTGATCTCCTAAACACGTGTTCACTTTTTCTTCTCATATTCCCTTTCTCAATTTTCATATCTTAATGTTTCTGTAACTCCTTCCCACTGCTACCATTAAAATAAGTTGACTTCTTTTAGAATTAATGCAACTTTAAGGTGGCATGTCCACAACTTTGATGCCATGGAGGAATGGAGGACTTAGGTCAATTACCACAAAGTGGATTGCCTCACTTACCACTCCACTGTATTATTAAACTTGAAAATGAATCCTACCTGTTGGATTCATGTTATGTATAGGTAGTGTTGTGTTATGAAATAATTCAACTTATACACGATCCATTTAGTCAAGTTTGTATTGTGTCGAGTTTGTATCGTATATAAATTATGTTCACTTGAGTTTTTGTCAATTACTTCATTCAACAGATCTATGGAGTTCAATCGTTTATCAGTAGACTCTAAATCATTAATTCTGCATTGATTTTTTGTTATTAGATTTATATGTCGTGTCTAGAGTGGTAAGACCATGAATTTCTTTACTCTCCAATATAAAAAAAATTTCCCCACATAACTGGTTCTCATAAATTCTAACAGTTAAGGAGAGAGAGAGGATGTCGTGAATCTTGTGACCGACCAAGTGTACTCAAATGTTCGACGGACCAAGCTTTAGAGGCGAGTATAAAGGAAGTATACCATGATAGTTTAAGTGGTAATATGAACGACATCTAAATTCAAATATTTTGAGTTTAAATTTTGACAATTTCTTAGGCCAGATTATGAAGAATTTATCTCTCACGAATACTCTAATCTCGGCATGGATGACCTCTCTTTAACCGGATTGTAGAGAAAATTAGTAGAGATACACATAAGTTAACTCTGAAACCCCTAACCGTTGAACCAAAAAAGAAAAGAAAGGATATTCATGGAAAGTAGAAGTGGGGCGGTAGAGAAATTGTTGAAATATCTTTGGAAGTGAGGCTTTATAGATGTCGGAAGATTTGGTTTCGCCTCTCCAAACTCTTTTAATCGTATCAATTACGTGTCTTCAGAATCTATTATTACATATTAAATTTGGGATTGACACAATTACCTGTAAACCACAAACATTGAATCAATTAGAATGTCTATTATTAAACTCAATCTTGAAATTTCAAGATAATAACTCTTAAAGGATATTTTCATCCGAATTACCGAGACGGGTACATTTTGTGCATGTCTTTTTACTATAAAGAAGCAAAAGTGGTTGACATGATGCGATTTCTGCACTGTCCACCGCCCATTCCATAGGACCATATCAAACTTAATCTCATGGAAACTAGAGAATGACATGTGGCCTGTCCAGTATTGTGTTGTTTAATTCACATGCACTTCACACACTATACTTGCCTTTTAATGCCACTTTCCGTGCGATTCCCGGCTCTAATGAGAAGACTCAGAGCAATACTCTGGTCCCCCAACCATCCCTAACTGGCCCATAGACTGACTTTTTCGGCGTCACAAGATGGGATTAGTATAAAAGTTTGACCATCCATTATTCGGATCAGAGATGATCTAATGCATGAGTCAGACATTGCATTATTAGAGAGGGTTAAATGTATATAATTTTTACTGCACGAATAAACTCTTTATAATTTAAACTCATGAGTCGTAATGCACAAATTACAATAGAACAAACTTATCACTGAGTCAAAGCACGTCAATTAAGAACTCAACTACTCAGGCATCATGGTTCATGAAGATTAAGGGTCCATGTTAGAATAAGAAAAATACACAATAGGATATAGAGAATAGATCAAGATGTGAAAAATGGAGAAGAAAAATAATGGAAAGGGAGAGGACATCTACATGTACCTAATTATACGAAAATTGTTAAAAATGGAATTGAAATTTAGTTTTTTGTAGATTCCTATGCTTAATTGACTGGAATTTTCTTCTGATCTTTTCTACACTCAGACACTTGATCAATTTCATAATTTCAACATTTGGCTACATTGGTTTTATATGTTCTTATTACGATATAAAAATAAGAAATAATAATAACCAACGGTAAGATTACCTTACATCGACAACTGAAAACTTAGAGATTTTTAACCCGAACACAATCTAGTGACTGGTTTATTATTTATTTCTCTTAAATTCCGTTATAGACAGGAGTTTTTTTTCTTTTTTTTGGGTACTTTAACACAATGTTTTTCTCGTATTTTTTTATGTAAAGCTTTCCAATCCTAGTGATTTCATAAGCAAAGGAAAATTAGTGATTTCAAAACATTAATAGGGATTTGCTCCCCTATAGCTAATGGGATGTGATATTTTGGAGGTGAGTGGAGCTTTTTGTGCAATTATATTGAAAGGAAACATAACTTTGCACCCCACTTTGATTTTTGATTTGATCTCTCACTTGTCATTAAGTGCATGCACAAATAATTTACTAGATTCCTCCTAGCTTCAATGCATACAAGGAAGATGGCATCAAATGCTTTTGTCCCTCCATTTGAGTCCCATTCTTCCACAAAATTATAATTACATTTCACTTATGCTGATCATGACCCACATCCTCAGTTTCCCATATCAGGTAAGGGTTGATTTGCAATCACAAAGTTAGAAAGTCCTAAATCACTACTTTTTTTTTACTAATGAGAGAGTGGGTAGAGGAAAAGATATAGCAATTGTATTTTTCGGTATTATACTATAAAATAATTTTTAGACTGAGATTTTGATCTTAATTATGTGTAATAACAATTTTTTAAAATAATAAATAATAATTTTTTTCCTGTGATAGTAACAACAAAAATTATTTTCTGGTGTCGTATTGCAATCCGCAATTGCTGGTATAATCACTAGACAAGTTCAGTTGCTTATTGTGCTTGTGATTATATTGGATTAGTAGCTTTTTTGGTTTGTAGTTATTGTTTTGTTTTTTGGTTCAATAGTAAGGAATATTTGAGTCAAATTATACTTTAATTAATTTTTTCTTTGGTTTAGTAAAAAATAAGTCAATCACGTCAGAACTAGAGAATTTATAAATAATAAATTCTTCATGGTCTAACCTCAATCAGTTGTCAAGATTCAAACTCAGAATGTCTGAATTTACACTTCGTCACAATTACCACTTAAATTACCGTGGATTGTTTGAAGTTATTCAACGGGGGTATGTTTGTTGTGGGATAAAAGGAGGGGATTCGACATAAATTTTAATCTTGACTCCTCTTACCCCTAGGTTGGTACCAAAAGTTGGGTCCGAAAGAGTAAAATTATTTTATACCCTACGGACTCGTTTGGTTGCCGTATTAGAAATTGATGAATTAGATATAATAATACAGTCTAATATAATACGGAAGGACAAAAGACAAGATTAAATAGAGTATTAGAATAATACATAATTTTATCAAGTGTTTGGTAATACACAATATAAGTGTTGGATAATAGTTATTTAATCAAAGCGGTTGTTTGGTTAGAGAATTATTTTATCGTATTAACATTGAATTAACAAAAATATCCTCAATCATTTGTTACATTGATGACAACTTGATTTTATCAGTTAAGGGGTTATAATAGTAAATGTGTAGAATAATACGTTTGAGTTGAATTATAATACCACCTCTCTTGGTGGTATTAAAAAACTTCCATAATACAGAGCTATCGTATAAAAAATATACGATCAATATACGTTTTTAAAATTAATACGGTATCAAATTTGCTTACCAAACAAAGTATTAGGCCTGATTAAATAAAAAATAATGCAATTCAATATTTAATCCCCTCATAATACGTCTATCAAACGAGCCCTATCTATATTAGTAGCCAATAAGAGGAGAACTTTATGATTGTTGGAATTGGGTGAAATACTGAAGAAACTAAATTAAAATTTAGCAATAATTTTGTGAAATTTAGTAATTTTATAGAAATTTAATTTATTCAGATCAGATCGAATGTCTGATTATTAATGGATTTGAATTTAAATTATATTATTGATATCTATCGAATTATTGGTTTAAGTTCGAACTCAATGTTTTTAAACAGATGCAAATTCAAATTAACAGAGATTTAATCCGAATTCAATCCGTTACCCGGACTAAAGGGAATCTCAGGGGATGAAAAGGGTTGGGTATTGATCAGATCATCCATGACCTCATCAAGTTGGTAACATTATACCCAAGTCCAAAAGGCAGAATGTTTCGGCACCATTCAAAACATATGGCAGAACTCTCTCTCTCTCTCTCTCTCTCTCTCTCTCTCTCTCTCTCTCTCTCTCTCTCTCTCTCTCTCTCTCTCTCTCTCTCTCTCTCTCTCTCTCTCTCTCTCTCTCTCTCTCTCGTAATACTACAAACTCCCAAAAACAAAACTCAAAAAATTATAATATAAATATATATTTTTTTTTGAATAAGTGGGTCTCGTCAACTTTTTCAATAGAATTCACTCATACAACACTCATTTAAGAGATAATATACATTTATGTTGCATTTTTTAGATTTCATTTGAATTGTCTAACATTTTTTCGCTCATGCATGACCAAATGAACTTGCCTTAAATTAGTTCCAATGAGAAAAGAGGTTGGTATCATGTTGACAATAGATGTGTATGAAACCAACCTTTTCTCATTTGGAA